ATATATATATATATATATATATATATATATATATATATATATATATATATATAAATTGGGACTCAAAGATCGGTCTAAGTGTGGAAGGTTGATTTGTCGCGTACGATAATCGAAGAAATTTCGATACGTGCGTTTAACATGCTGGACATATTATCCTCTCACTATCATATTAATATTAAAAAAAATAATATTAATATCTAATAACACTAAGACATCCGTGCTCCTTATATACCATTTTCAAATTTTACTGTTAGTTATTCAAAGGAGCTTTCTACAATTTCGGTTTATCGATAATAATCGAAGTTTACCCTTATAGAAAAGTATCACTGACTGTGATAAATTGGCCAGTAATAAATAGTAATTTTATTACTCGTACAAGTAATAAAATTATTGACAGTAATTATCACTGGCCAAATTATCACTTATCAATATTAAATTTCTATAAGGGATAACGAGCTCTTAGTTACAAATACTCGAAGTAATTAATGCATAATGCACACAATTGTCAAAGCGATTGAGAATTACTAATCGATCATATTTCACTAGCAATCGCTACATTGAGCCATCCTGTAGATTAAACGACAGCTATTTAAAAAAGAAAAAAGTAAGCACGATATTTACAGTGATATGTCAATTATAACCCGTACTAACTATAATGAGAGAAAAAATATCTAAGAAATAAAAAATATATATTTATTTAGTGGGTACTAATAATTTACTTACTTACACCAATATATATATACACATATATAATTTTACATTGAGGAAAAATATCTTTTTAAATGAGGAAATACACACTTTCTTGAAACTTCAGCTTTCCATGAAAGCAATTATTTTGTTCTATTTAAATAGAAGAATTGAAATAATGAAATAGATGAATTTGAATAGAAAAACACATTGTAACGTGAACTATAGATTTTCGTTACAATTTTTTCCTCAAAAAGTATGTTTTGGAATGCAACCTCAGTAAACACGTTATCAGTATCCACCGAATAGATATTTTTTTATTTTTACATATTTTTTCAGAGCGTAGCAAAAATATATTTTGAAGTATCAGATATCTACCAACTTTTGTGGCTTTTTTCTAGAAGCGTACTGACGAACGGCGTCTTTCACGCTCATACACTCGAATAAAAACCCGAATTGTCGAAGTGCAGTTCCACAATGGCCGCCGACCTGATTATGATTAAATCAGCTCCCTCGACTAACGCGGTAGCCACAGAGCTGGCTCGCAGATATGGCAATTACCACGTTGATCCCAGCGCGATAATGGCTTGGAGACCATCGTTAGCGGTTTCGCCGCGGTGGGCCCGGGCGTTTCCTTCCTAAAAGCCGCGAAACCGCGTTTCCTCCATGTGTCGCAGACGCATGGCCGGTGCCTCTCATCGACGATTGCCTCGTCTTTCCCCAAGGGCGAGCCGAGAGGATGCACGGGGGCGGCGGGAGGCAGGAAGGAAGGTCTTCACCAATTAACCAGTAGGGTCACATGCAGTGACGGCCGGCGGCACTTCTGCTGCCGGATCCGACACGAAAGCACTTCTGCTGCCGGGCCTACGTGTCGTGGTCTCCAAGGCGCGTCACACACGTGCATACACATGTCCCGCTGGCGCAAACGAGCCGCATGCAGCAGCGTGCGAGGTCGAGGGCGCGGCGCGCCTCTAAATTAAAGGCGCGCGTCTGCGAATCCTCCAGTCAGCCGTCGGATTTCCGTGGTAGTGCCACCTCGAAGTCTTCGCACTGCCGCTCGTGCCGCCGTCGGGGAAATTTGCGGGAGTCGCTCGGGAGGCAAAAAAAAGGAGTGCGTTTGGCCGTGTCGTTGATCCGCGAGTTCGTTCGGCTACGATCGGGGTGCGGATTATAGGGTGCCGAACGCGACTTCGAGCAGCCGTCGGTGACCTTTTCGTCGGGCCTCTGGGTCGGAAACGCCACGCGAGAAATGGAATTAAAATTTCAGCCGGCTTCCGCGCTTCCGATGGCCGCGATGTGAAATTGTTGGAGAGATCTTTTTTGGGAGTTAACTCGTCTCTCCTCAAGGGGAAACAATTTCCTGAAATCTTGCGCGTCGGGCAACGGAGCAGGAAGGTTGAGACAAGGGGAGAAAGAGCAGTAAGGCAAAAATAAAATCCGCGAAATCGCCGGCGAAAAGAGCGACGCGGCACTCGAGATCCTCGGAATCATTAAAGGCTGTCGAATCGCCAACGGTCGCGGCGATTCATCGCGAACGGCGAGGTATGTCTTATAGCAGAGATTAGTCATCGTAAGAAAATGGAATCCTCTCTCAGAGCATTGTTGAAAATCCGAGAACGACGGATGTGCTCGGAAAAATCATCGTTTATTATCGTTTCGTGATTATAAATCCCCGATTAAATCTCGAATCGGGCAACGTCTTTATTAATGTAAAGACCGATTTGCATATTATAGTAGTGACATTGTGCTAGTAACGTGTGTTTCTGCCAGTGTTACTGACGAATATAGATTGTCTCATTTACATTAAGAGAGAGAAAAGAAAATATATAAAAAATAACAAATATTTTTTTGGTGTGTATATTAAAACAGTATATTTACTTAAATCTATATTCTTTTATTTAAATAGAATAAATAATTATGCTTCCATGAAGAACTAAACTTTTCTT